GCCTCGGGATCCTCAGAGGCTTTGGGCCTGCTTCCCTCCCACCTGGTTCCTGAAGGCCTTGGATCTGTTACTGACCACACTGGTTCCCACACACTCCTCCCCACCCCAGTAACTGATTGCACCCTTACCTTTAGAAGTTCTCCAGAACTCTGGAGAGAGTGTTAGGGAAGCAGAGCACACTGCCCCATCTCTAGGCCATGTGACTTTGTCTCAGAAGTGGATGCCATTTTCAGAGTGGCCATAATGAATTGGGTCTACTCCAAAAATGGCATCTGCTCTCAAGAGGGAGTCATGCGGCCCAGGGAGGCCAAGGGACGTAGCAGCCTGGGAACAAAGTCAGGAGAATGTCAAAGAGGCAATGATGTCCAATTTATAGAATCTAATTTACGTCCTGTTGGGACTTTTGCTTTCTTGCTGCTTTTGGGGTAAATAAGATAACAGTTCCAAATAGCAGAGTTCATGATATAATTCTCTGAATTATTACAAGCCAGTGAGAAAGTGGCCCTATTCTTCACTGGGATGCAATTTCTTTAAATATCTGCTACAAAATAACTAGAAATGTCTCAACTACTGCACACATAAATCTCTATTGGCCAAATAAACAGCTTATCTAGATGCCATGCAAAACAAAAAGAGGCGTGTGACACCATGTAGACACACTTTGAAATGAGATACTGTATGCAAAAGCCTACTTTCACTGCATTCTTTGTGGTTGCTATCCTGTGTATTTTTATCTAAAAGTAGGCCTCACTTAATATAATGGGGTTATTTCTAAGTAAATAGATCACACTGTATCTAGTCTAAGGCAGACCCTTAGCATGCTTATGCTGGCCTAGTCATCTTGATTTCAGACCTTTTAAATTAGCATCATACTCTGGTATAATTTATTTTAAGGCAATCTTCCCCAATACACATAATTTTAAAGATGTTGAACTCCAGCATTTCTGGAGACAGCCAGGTTAAGCAAAGCTAAAATAGCATACAGTATTTTACTGCCAAATATCAACATGTTCAAATTTATATGACACTATAAAAAGCATGCCTCTTTTAACTCATTATATAATCTGTATTTGTATCTGTATTGTGCACGCACATACGCACAGTACCAAAAATCAAAATCAAGTCCCATAGTAGTAAAGAACAAGTTTAAACAGCTAAAGCTCCAGGGATGGATGGCTTAACTGCGGTCTATTATAAAACTTTACAAGTAGAAATGATTGAACATCTTAAAGACTTATTTTGTAGCATACAACAAGGGGGTAAAATACCCCCTTCATGGAAAGCAGCTTTTGTTTCATTGATACCGAAAGAGGAAGCAGGTTCTACAAAACCGGAAAATTTTAGACCAATATCTCTCCTGAATACGGATTATAAAATTTTTGCAAAAGTATTAGCCAACAGATTAATGCCAGTTATCCAAGAGGTGATTCATTATGATCAAGCAGGATTTATAGAAGGCAGATATATGAAGGATAATGTGAGGCAAATTATAGATTTATTGGAATATCTTGAGAAGAATAAACAGATCTCTGCAGTGCTGGTGTTTTTGGATGCGGAGAAGGCCTTTGATCGAGTGAATTGGAACTTTCTATTAAAGACTTTAAGAAAGATGGATTTTGGGGATCAGTTTGTGCAGGCGGTTTCAGCAATTTATCAAGAGCAAACAGCACAAATTATCATTAATGGAAGCTTAACTACAAACTTCAGTATAGAAAAAGGCACAAGACAAGGTTGTCCGTTATCCCCGTTGTTGTTTATCTTAACTCTAGAAGTCTTGTTGAACACAATACGGGACTCGAGTGCTTTGAATGGAATAGTTATAAGGCAAGAGGATTACAGAACAAGGGCATTTGCAGACGATCTGGTTGTCACCCTAACACGGCCGATGGAATCAATAATCCAGATGAAAGACATTATAGAAGAATATGATATGGTATCAGGATTTAGATTGAATCAGAAAAAAACCAAGATGATAGTTAAAAACATGACAGAAGATCAAAAGAAGGAACTTGAAAGGAAGGCAGGCTTTGAAATAGTACCAAAGGTGAAATATCTAGGAGTCCAAGTTGCCAATTCAAATATAAAACTATTCCAAAATAATTATGAGGTGTTGTGGCGAAAGGTACAAAAGGATATGGAAACCTGGAAAAAACTGCAGCTGTCCTTACTTGGAAGAATAGCAGCAGTTAAAATGAATGTTCTACCTAGATTTTTATTTTTGTTTCAAATGATTCCGGTGCTTAAAAGTGATAAACAGCTGATGGAATGGCAAAAAGGAGTGAATAAGTTTGTTTGGAATGAGAAAAAGCCGAGAGTTAAACTGAAAATTATGCAAGATGTTCGTGAAAGGGGTGGCCTTAAACTTCCAAACCTACGACTGTACTATGAAGCAGCAACGTTGACACAAGCAAGTGATTGGTTTGGAAGGACAAAGACTGGAATATTGGATATAGAAAGTCATGACCTTGAATTTGGTTGGCATGCATATTTATTCTACGAAAATAAAGTGAATAAAGTATTCAACAGCCATATATTTAGAAACTCCTTGATGAGAGTATGGAAGAAGCACCAGTTCAAATGGAATTATAAAATACCATTGTGGTTGGATCTTGGTCATATTATACGGAATACAAACATAAAGTCACTCGGGGGGGGTTATACAAAGAAGTACTTTTTAATGATGGGGGCAGATGGCAACTAAAGACATTAAATACACTGTTGGAAGAAGGGATTAATTTAACTTGGTTACAGTATAATCAACTTCAGTTGAGATGGAGAGAAGATCAAAAAATTGGTTTAATGTTGCATGAAGAAGAATCGGTAAGACAGATAAAAGAGAAAGGCCCAATGCATATCAAGAGGGTTTATAACGTTTTGTTAGAAAGAGATTCAGAAAATGAATTGGTTAAAGATTGTATGATAAAATGGGCGCAAAACTTTGCAGAACCAGTTATGATGGAAACGTGGGAAAAAATATGGGTTCAGAATGTTAAATTTACGCAGTCACAGAATTTGAGGGAAAATTTTTACAAAATGTTTTATAGGTGGAATCTAGATCCTAAGAAATTGTCGTGTATGTATCCTAATGTTCAACCAAAATGTTGGAGATGTGATTGTTTAGATGCTACATATTATCATATATGGTGGACTTGCAAGAAAGTGAAGGCTTTCTGGATAAAAATTTGGTGGGTTATGCAAAATGTTCTGAAGAAAAAACTCCAATTTTCTCCTCAATTGTTTTTATTGGGCATAGTTAAGGACTTTTCAATGGGTGAAACAAAATTGATATTGTATATGGTGACAGCAGCTAGGTTACTGATTGGTCAATATTGGAAAAGGGATGTTATGCCTACTATTGAAGAATGGACTTTGAAGGTGGCCAGTTTTGCAGAAATGGCGAAGATATCAGCATATTTAAAAGACCGGACTCAAGAGACCTATGCATGGGAGTGGAAGAAATGGATAGATTATGTGCAGAATAAATATCAAACTAGGAAGTACCAGATAGCTTTTAGTTGAATGTTGTGTAGAAATGTATAGTATATAGGGGGTAGAATAGTTCAATGTTATGTAGAAATGTATAGTACACAGGGGGTAGAATAGATGGTCGGTAAAGTATGATACAATATGACTTGAATTTGGATTTCACCTTGGGGAAGTCATGGGAGGAGGGGAGGGCTAGGGAGGGTTAGGGAGGGAAAGGGGGGGGGAATGGGAAAATTTGTACTTGTAAAACTTTTTCAATAAAAAAAAAAGAACAAGTTTGACTAATTTGGCTAAATAATATTTTTAGAGAAATGTTACTGTACTGTACTTAGGAAAGTTCAAAGGTCATGCACCAAACAAATAAGTGTTTAGAAGAAAATGGCAACCAATTCAAACATTTAACGTAATTTATGTAATAAATTGTTTATGGGGCCTGACGTTTGGTATGTGTGGATGGGGTGTATGTATGTATATGAAATTGCATCTCTTAATAACATTCAGTTCAGGTTAGATATTTATTACAAAAATGTTGTCTCTCAACCTCTCTAGGACTAAGCTTGTGGTAGCTTGTGGTAGAAAGCACACAATTCTATAACCATGGTGGCAACACAATGAAATAGATACCATTTAAGATGTTCATTTCAACAAAATCACACTCTGTGCTCTTTTATCTAACTCAGATCAATAGCAGCAGCTCTACAAGTCTTTTAACTGTTTTATATCAAGTAGCCACCACATAAAACACTAGAATTATAAAGGACTATTTAGGCCATTCTCAGAAATCAGAGGATCAAACATTTCACAGATAATAGAAAAAATCCATGCTCAGTCAAATTGACTGGACTTGCCCAGCGAATTCAAGCAACTTTGTCAAATGCTTAGAACTTGGGGGAAAATAAATTAACTCAGTGACCATTTAAAGTTATGGTGATGCTGAAAAACTGGACCAGACTCTGTAGCATCCCTTCAGTCATATGATTATGAGTTGGGTGCTTGAGTGTCCAGTTTGTGATTATAATGTCACAGCAATCCATGTCACATTATCACCATTTGTGACTTTCCCTGCCAGCTTCCCACAAGCAAAGTCAAGGGAAAACCAGTAGATAAGGTTGCAAGTTGCCACAGTAAGTTGCTGCCACTGTTTTTTCTTCCAAAGAGTCCACTAGAGGACAAGATCCCAGGGACCTGCCTACAGCACTCTTGGCCTCCTGTGGCTTCAGATAACCCTCCTTCCATAACCTCTCTTAACCCAACCAAGGCCTCCACCAGCCCTCTGTGACCCCAACCATGCCCCCGAGTGCCCACCCACTGAGACTCCCGCTTCTTACCACTTAACAACTTTGCACCCTGAGGCTACAACAGCAACTGGGACTTCCAGGATTGCCACCACTAAGCAAAATGGTCATGTGACATTGTACTTTATGACCACATTGCTTAGTAATAGTAATCCCAGTCACATTGTAACCTACACCTATCTGCACCATTGGTCTAAAGATGTGGATGGAACATTCTACTTTTCTTGACAAATAGATCTTTATTTTATGTGACTTGGACTCACACAGTAGGAATAAACAACAACAAAAAAAGAAAAATACAGCCTCTGGATTCACTTTGGAGGATTTAGGAGGAAGAGATGAGAAACACTATGGCTGCCAAGTACAATACCTCCAAGACTTAACATTGATGGTCATCCTCTCTGGATTTTTCCAGCAGAACCTTTTACAACTTGATCAGTATGTAAAGATGCAGAGTGTGCAAAATAAGACTTCACATCGTTCATTTTATATTCATATTTACTGAAACTTCTATTTACACGATTTTATTAATCTTTGTATCTGTACATGCTCCAGTTTAACACATCACAGGATTTGGGGAATAATGTGCAATAGTTATTTCCCTGGGTAATTATAATTACATGAAAATATTACCGAAACAAAAAAGACACCTTTCACTATTTACAATGGAATGGTAATATGTATCCTCATCAATTATTCACCTGGAGATACTTCCACACACCAATTAATCACAGAGATAAATAGTGAAATATTCAGTCAAATAACACACATTAATCTAGATTTGTAAAGCAAGCCATTACACTGTGATCCCTCTCTTGCTCTGTACAAAATTTTACTTAGCAGCTTCAATATATCTCCAAGGTTGTATTTTTTTAAAAAAAACACACACCTCAAAGTACTGTTTATCATTGCCCAACAAAACTGACCACAGATGTTAATCACCTTTTTTCTCTTCTTCATTGTTCTTTCATGTCTTCATTTATGAAACAGCAAGAATACTTTTCATTGGAAGCCCATGAGTCTTCTTTGGCTCATGCTCCATTTATACCTCATATTTGGGCTATATCTGTACTGTGGAATCTACTGGGGAATATACTTCATGAGATGAATATATGTATGTCTCATTCCTCTGAGACAAAGGTATACAAGTGTATGTGCATGTCTGTGTGCCTATGTACATACATGCCGTTATAGAAAATAAAAGGGGGGGTAGTCCATTACGGGAGCAGCAGACCTAGGTAAGGAACAGAAAGGGTCATGCACAAATCCTTCAGGCTTTAATAAAGCTACACAACTGTGAAAACTGTGAAAAAAATCATGAATAAATATGGCAAAAGAGCTGGTACAAAGTGCTAACTGTTGTAAAGTAAGACATGGGGCTTGCAGGTAAAAGTTCCCAAGTTATTAGAAACAGTGACAATAGAGGAAAAGAGAAGACTTTTTCTTTAAACTGCATGAGGAAAATTCAATTTTCTATAGATTCAGTTAATGTGTATTTTACCTTTAGTGCAAAGAGCTCAAAAAGTGCAAACATTTCTCCATGCTTTCCGGTCCAAAGAACATCTGCTTAAAGAGTCTTTCCTGTACAATCAGAAATAGGCAAGCTATGCTGATTTTTTTTGTTGTTGTTGCAATGACACGGGTTTGCAAAAATGCAGTCCTCGCTTCATTTAGACTTAGAAAAGAAACATCCTTACCAAAAAAGAATAATTAAACTCTGTGTTTCTGTTAGTATCCCCCAGCAGGTAAATGAAATGTCCCCAAGTGATGGCAGCAACAACAGCAGGCAAAGGAGTGGTGGCTGGGGATTAAAATGTTCTTTTTCAGACTGACCATCTTCTTAGCTTCAACTGTGTCTCTCTCATCTCGCAGATTTTTGTTCATCTCTCTGCTCCAGAGGCAAGCAAGACAAATGCAAGTGTTATGGCTACAGTGTTCATGTTTGCCTTTTCCCCATATCCAAACTTAAATAATTTCCATGCTAATGATGTATAATGTAGTCATAGTATTGCCTAGTCATTTCTAAAGTAATATAAACCCTGTTCAGATTACTGTTACTTTGGCAAAATGATTGTTGCACAGCTCTGAGAGGCTGCAAGTCACTAGTGCAGAAATGATCTGACTTCCCTACTGCTATGATGTACTACAGCTCCCATAATTTCTGGTCACATTTCGAAGGTACCAGATTGTAGAAGATTTCATAATCACTGATAATCATTAAAGGTACTGTTGTCAATAACTCTGTTTGTCTTACCTGTTTACCAATGGTTTACTTATCAGTGATTTATATGATTAATCAAATGTTCTGAATTTGCATAATGCAGTGAACTATAAAATAATTACACTGAGCTTTAATAGCAAGATAATTGTGAATCAATTTGTTGTACGAACACAGCCTTAACAGACAGAGAGGGCAAGGAAAGCAAGAAACTATTTTTTTGTATGATCACAAAGAAAATAATTTCTTTGGCACCTAGATTGCATTTAATAAATTCTGAAGAGCAGTTACTTGTATAAGGTAGCTATCATATGAGTCCAATGTCAACTAGTCAAGGAGTTTCTGAGTTCAATTTTCCCATTTTGGCAACGATCCAACAAATATTAGACCATCCAAATATTTAATTATACAAAGTAAATTATTAACAACCTAACACATTGTATTATTATTATTCTGAATACAAAATAGCTTATACTGGGCGCTCCACCGTAAAATAAATTAAGGAGAAAAAAATAGTCAAGACTATTCTGTTTGTCTGCATGACATCATTCTGTTTCTTCCATATACCATGATCAAAATAAATCTTAAGCCATTGTTGTCTGTAAATGAGGCCAATAACTCTTAACAGCTAATTCCCCTGTAGGCCTCCCAACACTTAAAGAACTGTTTTCTCTTAACTATAAGTTAAATGCATATTGTTCCTTTCCATGGAATTGTATCTCCAAGGGATACAAGAGAGGGACATCACAAACATCCTGGAAGAATTAGTCCCAGGTAGAGGAAGAGACACTTTCTGTTTCCCCTTTCCCCCCCCCGCCCCCCTGTAATTCAATCACAAGCCTCCAATTGCAAAAGTCCATTTCCCTTCCTCTTTTTTAATCTTTCTTTTAATCTTCTACCATCATGTAACATATCTAGGAGCTCTGGTGGCACAGTGGTTAAAATGCAGTACTGAAGGCTACTTCTGCTGGCTGCCGGCTGCCTGCAGTTTAGCAGTTCGATTCTCACCGGCTGAAGATTGACTCAGCCTTCCATCCTTCCAAGGTCGGTAAAATGAGGACCCAGATTGTTGGGGGCAATATGCTGACTCTGTAAACTGCTTAGAGAGGGCTGTAAAGCACTGTAAAGTGGTATATAAGTCTAAGTGCTATTGCTATTCCCCAGAGCAGAAGTTCCCAACCCTTGGGCTATGGCTCACTACTGGTCTGTTCAGAACCAGGCCGTGGACACAGCGGAGGAGCACACATGTGCACGTAGCTCCATTTGCGTACATAGCTCCATTTGTACAAGTGGCCAGCACACGTGCCTGCTGCTCACGCAAATAGAGCTTTGCACACATGCACACTCACCCGCCACTTGAGCAAAACCATCACCTCTGCCTCCTCCCCCGCTAGTCCATAAAACCAGAAAGGTTGGAGACAGCTGCCCCAAAGAGGTCCACTTTCTGTACTGCTGTATTCAAGTATTTTCCAAGTAACTGAACAGACACTCACTCTTCCAACCACTCTTTTTCAGATATCTTTCTTACCTGAGGAGCTCCAACTGACGCAAAAGGCTTTGTTTTTCTTTCTGCATATTCTTAGAAGCTTGAAATATATCTCTGGGATAGAAGCAAGGAAAAAAAGATTTCATATGCGTAAATCTGTATTTTATTCTTTTGCAAACATTAATATTGGCTAAAACGTAGCAGTATTATGCCTGCTACCGGTAACTGTATATGGAGGATGGTCTAAGTAAATTAACACTAACTAGGTCTCCCCTACTTGTTTGCAGCTGCACAATGGCATAATGTTGCTTGTGTGTTTTTGGCTTAATTATAGGTATGAATCAAGTGATGGTAATTTGCAAGCTTGCACGTTTATGGTTTCATATGCGGTGTGAACCCACACATTTTGGTTTACTGAACATGGTTAAAACGAACAATGGCTAAGTACATGATATGAACTTGGACTACTTGTTAATGGCCTATTGTTATCACAGGTTTATAGACAAGGATATTTACTTATCTGCCTTTTCTCAAAGGACATTCATATGTCCTTCTTACCTGCACTTTTTTTCCTCCAATGGTTGCATGTATACACAAGGTATAGTTTGGCCCTAAGGATACAGATCAAGTGACATACAGGGAGTCCTCGGCATACAACATTCATTTAGCAACTGTTCAACATTATAAAGGGCATTGAAAAAAGTGACTTATGACCGTCCTCACACGTACAACCATTGCAGCATCCCAGACATATGACCATCATTCATGACCTTCCCAGCCAACTACCAACAAGCAAAGTCAATGAGGGAAGCCAGATTTGGTTAACAACCGTGTGATTCACTTAATAACTGCAGTGATTTGGTTAACAGATGTAGCCAAAAAAGGTCATAAAATTGGGCACTACTCTCTTAACTGCCTTGCTTAGCAATGAAATTCTGGTCCCAATTGTCGTTGTAAGTCAAGGACTACCTGTATGTGAGCACACCAAAACAGCTTTTTAGGTAGCTTTATTTTTGATACATTCATCTCATCTAAAACATTGTGTCTATGGATACTGGGTAGTTATTGTTTCTCAACAATCACCAGCTTTGACTCTCCAAATACGTTTCTACTTCAACTCTGATGTAGGCATTTGGGATTTAATGCTCCATGTGTTTGAAGCAGACCGTATCAGTGAAAACTGGATGAAATTGTTGCACAGAGGACAAGGCCATTCTCTTACCTCTGTTTACCATGGAAAACAGGTTTTGGTCAATTAAGTACTAGCAAATAAATTATTTACCACTTGATAACATATACAGTAACTGGTTACTTGACTAGCAACATGATTCTCAAATGACATATTTTTCTAAATATTAAAGGGATTGATTTCTGTGGAGATAATGATAATATTCGTTTTGTTCCAGGACTGTCATGCCCTGTAGGTTTTGACAAAAGAAGGCCTTATATTTAAATGCTGGGGTGTTTGTTATCCAAGCTAATTCCTCCATGAAGTTGCTAGAAAAACGTAATTGGAAAAAGACTTCCATCATTAGTTTATCTCAAGGAAAGGAAAGGTACTATGCCTTCTGTGTACTTGAGATTTATAAAGATTGCAGTTGAGTAAGGGAAATGAAATATCAGAAAATATTCAACCTTAAAGAGTTATCAATGTGCAACAGTCACATACAACAGCGTTGATTTTCTAATATTTCCATTCTAACTTCGTGATGCCATTCTACATCCTGCCGTTACCGCTGGTCATACCTGTTTTTCTGTTCCTGCTCTACTTGGGCTTCTTTCTGCAATTCTTGCAACCGACTTTGGGCTACTTCCAGCTCCCATTTGGTCCTTTCCAGCTGATCCAGGAGATTTTCACTCAGAATTTGTAATCTCTCATTTTGTATACGCATTTCTAGCTGCTCAGAGTGCTGGCAGTGTAACTGATGTTCCAACTAAATACAGACATTTATAAAACAAAATAAATATAGTTGGAGAACCAAGAAGTCTGAATGAAATCTAGGATTGCAATAAGAACAATATCTAATATTGTTAATGTTTTATCCTAGGGGTATGTTTTTTTATTTTTTTAAATTAATTTAAATCACCTACGACAATATGGATAGAATAATTATCCAAACAAACTCCGTTTCCCAATTCTCAATTGCATTCCTCCAAGAATAACCACCATACAATTGTGACATGAATAAATACAGTCCTTCTTACTTTGGTGGTGATTAATGTACCAGACCAGAGTGAAATATGAAAGGAGTTGAAACCCTGCCAAAGCCATGGGCCTGGAGGTTAAAGGAAGATAGCAGATACTATTCAAAAGCAGTTGGGCCAGGCCTTGCAGATTAAGATAAGATTTCAGAAGAAACTTGGCCTACAGTCATGGATTCCTACGTCAGGAATTTTATGAAGTTTGCTATATCAATATTATGCAATTGGCTCTCAACCAGACAGCTGTTACATAAACCAATCAGGTATGGTTAGACGTAATCATAGACATATCCACCCCAAATGAAAGGACTCCTTGTGAAAATTATTTGCTTGCCACACCATAAGATATAAATTTCTTAACACAGGTGGCAGGCTAGGCTACATTCCTCTTCAAATGGGCATTTTAAACTTATATCTTTCCTTAAATAGAACGTGGCTTTGTCCACTCTGATCTCATCCATGACAGTTTCCAAACAGATAGAAATGTTTCCGTCCATGCACGCATCCTGACTTTGCAAACAAGATCTTTTCAAAGCCTATCATATTTATTCCTGCAATACTAGTATTAATGTAGCAGCAAGGATTTCACATTGTCAAACTCATAGGCATGTCCATTCATCTCTGAAGGACCACAACATTTTTAATGCTTTGTACAAGTCACAAACCAAAGACTGTAAAAATAACACAAAGGTTTCATATCATATCTTTCAATCATATCTTGAGGTAACATGGCAATGAAAGGACAATAGAAAGCCTACAGATGGTAACACTGGTACTTATTGGAACCAAATGGACCAAGAATGATGAAATAATAAATGGAGCAGAAAGCATTTTACTTCTTCCTTTCCCAATGGGTCTATATATTAATTTGCAATTTGTACAATAACCTTTTGTACCCTAATCCAGTTCTAGTTCTCCAAAAAATACTGCCAGCCAGACAAGATGTACCATATTTTTCCGAGTATAAGATGCACTTTTTTTCCTCCTAAAAGAGGCTGAAAATTTGGGTGTGTCTTATACTCCGAATGTAGCTTTTTTGAAGCTTTTTTTCAGCCCTAACGAGGCGCTACAGCTTTGCCTGCTCCCTCCAACTCTCAGCTGTGAAGTTTTTTTTCAGCCCTAATGAGGCGCTAGTGAGTGAAGCGATCTCCGTGGTTTGCCTGTTTTTCTCATTGCTTCTCTCTCTGAAGATCAGTTGTGCTTTAGAAGCTGTTTTTTATCCCCAAAGCAGGGGATAAAAAAAACAGCAAATTAATGTGCTGAAGCTGACCAGACTAAGGACGCTAGCCAAATGAATACCTGGTAGGCAGATTTTTTTTTCTTATTTTCCTCCCCAAGAACTAAGCTGCGTCTTATACTCCAGTGCGTCTTATACTCTGAAAAATACGGTACTTTCCAATGCATCTTTGCATCACTTGTGCATATACAAAAGCTTATTTTAAACCATGAGTTTCTCTTGATGAAATCAACAAATACTTGTAGCAGCCTTTCTCTATTCCACATCCTCCAAACATTTACCAAGGATTCTGGAAATCATAATCCAGTATATTTAGGGAACACTAGATTGGGCAAGGATAGTTTATAGTAAAGATTGTTACCCCTTTACTGAATGATAACTTTGGTTGTAATCATGAAAGGATGAGAAGCAGGCCTTGGTCACCTTTTTCTGCCGGTAAAGAATTTTCTCAAATTCTTGCTCTTTGTTCTGCAACTCTTTCTGAAACATGTTGTTTTTCTCAAGCCTTGTTGATGCCTGAAAAAAAAAAAAAGCAGAGGAACAGATGTTCCTTTTTTTATTTTTCTTCCTCCATAAAATAATTCCCAGCACTTGCCAAACATCATAGGAGTAGTCAAGGACTAGGACTGCATGCAGATCAGGAGTTTACCTGCTGGACCAGCCTCTCCCTTTCAGCTTTAATTTGTTGCTCCATTTCCTCATAGAGACACCCGATTTCTCGGTCATGGTCAGTCTCTCTTCTAAAAGAATAGAACAGGAAGAAGGAGATATGGAAAAAGTGTATACCGTTGTTTTTCAAACTTGGCAACAATGTTGGCTGGAGAATTCTGGTAGCTGAAGTTCACACATATTAAAGTTGCCAAGTCTGAAAAACATTGGTTGGGTAAAATAAACAAAAAATGAAAACAAAGTTAGAGAACGGGGAAAATCTTTTCTTTAAAGCAAAATAAATACATTCCACTTCACCACATCATACACCCTGTCACTTTTCACATACTCTCATAGCCCTACAAAAATATCAGAATGTTTAAATAGTTGCTGCCCATAAAAAGAAAAATTCCTAAAAAGAAAAACTCAGGATTCTTTATAATAGACTTAATATGTTGTTTCTGGACAGTGAATGTTTGCTGTAAGTTTTACAATCCTATCTGCAATCTTTAGCAACTGTAACTAGGCCTTGGAAAAATTATTCCAGTAAGACTCATTTGTCAAAGGGCAAAGTGTATTAAATGACTATAAAATAAAAGATTAGATTAATCGTGTTTTATAATAAATTGACACAATGACTGATTTAAATTACTGACATTTTATCTATTTTGTTTTATTCACAAACAGTTGGCTAATCTTGGCATCAAAATTAAGCCCCATATTTTACTTCAACTATGCCTCCATGTTGTGCATGAGTATTTTATCATCAACAATATTTTACAGATTTTTTGCCTTCTAATTAAAACTTTAGGGACTATCATACTTGCACAACGTAGTCTTTCCTTTAGATTCCCACTTTCTGCTAGACCCTGTTGATGGTCCATGGGAAACCAATGTCCCAATCTTCATCTTAATAAAAGAAGCATTAAGACATTCTGGGAATTGCTTACCGTTTTAATACCAGTTCCATGGATTCTTTCTCATGGTGCAGTTCCTTGATGTATGAGGAAATATGGAAAAGAAACTCTTCAAAACTGGCTAGGAGTTCTGGTGCCTCTTTTCGGATTCGAACCCAAAGCTCTTGAACTTCACCCTGACTGGAGTAAAAGAAATGAAGATTCTAGCAAAATGCTTTTAAAAACACAACCTTAAGTTTTACTCCTACACATACTTCCTTATGATAAGAACAAGCAGAACACAAGAGGAAAGACATACATCTTAAAAGTCTGAGCTTTTTCTGGACATTAGGTTTGCGCATTTCCGCCTTCAAAATAGTTTTGGTTAACTCTTATGCTGATTTTTGCTCTTCTTCCTTCACTAACATGTCTTATGGCCATTATGGGGAGGCTTTATTAGAACAATAGCACTTAGACTTGTTGTCACAGAATCATGCATTAGCCCTTATTGGCCTAGCAACAGAAAAGCAGAAGAGTTAGTAACATTCTCCCATGGGCATAAGAAACCCATAGCCCACCTGATTTACTATAGCCCTCAGTTCTAGTCAATGTGACCACTGGTAAGAGATACTAGGAGCTGTAATTCAGCAGCAGCTGGAGAGCCAGAGGGTCTTCACCCCTATTCTACAGATTAAAGGCAATAGATATAGCTCACTAATTATATAGCGAAGAGTCTGCCAAACAAAATTCAAGGCACCTTTTTTGAACATGAGGCTGTTGAATGGAACAATTATCATAATCATACTCTAATGGAAAAAGACAGATTGGAGAGTTCCATCTTACTCTTCAAAGACCTGGGATGCTTCAAACTGCTCCAGCACAGAGCAAAACTGTTTCTCCCCTTCATCTGTCTGGTCCAATTCCTCTGACCAGCTAGACTCAAAGGTCTCCTCGTGACTGGCATTTTCAGAGTTCTGGTGTAGTTCGTTTCCTATGAACTTTCCTATGAAAATAAGTGAAAGAACACGAGATCACCTTGCAGCCCACTTCTTTTGATCTGGTTTGTAAAGAGGGAGAAGTACAATACTGACTGGAAGCCCACTGAAGTTACCAACTTCAAGACAAAGTCCCAGACTGCAGTATCAGGACCTACATAATTAATTGGGGAAGCAAAATTAGAGACCCTTTGTGAAATAGCAAATCCATAACCCCATCTTAACTTAGAAAGTGATTTTCTAAATCACACTAGCTATGTGGGTTGTCCTAAGAACAATAGGACTGGCCATCCTTAGCCCACCCACATAATTTATGCAGTGAACTGTGGTTACTCTATGGCAATGAAGGTAATTCTGCTTATCACCCTTCCCTCACTTAGTACTCATAAGTATGTTTGAGTATAAACCTCAGTCTCCCCAGCCATCCAGACCTTTCACCATGCTAGCTGAAAATTCTAGAAACTACAGTCAATCATACTAGGAGGGCAGCTTCATGGTCTTAAAAATATTCTCTGCTATTCCATACAGGTAGTCTTCCACTTACTGAATGGCTGTTCATTCAGCAACTGTTGGAAATTAAGATGGCGCTGAGTGAAGATACTTAACACTGGTGTTCACAGTCACAGCCATTACACAGCCCCTGCAGTCATGCAATTGCAATCTGGGCTGTTAGCAACCTCATGTGATCACCATTTGCAATCATCCCTGCCAGCTTCCTGAGAAAGTCAACAGGAAAGCTGAATGAGAAGGTCACAAGCCATTTTGTTTCTCTAAACAGTGCACCACTTCCCCTCTCCCTCTCCCTCTCCCTCTCTCTCACACACACACCAGTTAGAGAGAAGGCTTTTCGTCTAGCCAGGGAAGTCAGTGCAGGGACATGTTGTATGAAGGAACAAAGTTGGGACAGCTTCACTTCCCTATGCAGTGCACTGACTCCCTGCCCCGCCCTGGGCTACAGAGAAAAGCTTTCTAATTTTCTAGTGCATCGTGGTGAGAGAAGCCAACATGGCTTCCTGGGACAGAATCCCACTACTGCTGGCAACCCAAACACAGACTACAGTTGAATCCTGCATTTTATTATTATTATTATTTGGAACTCCATACACATATTAATAACTCAATTTTTTAAAAACTATACTTTGTTAAATGATTTGCTGACCTGATTTGCACATCATACGAAGGCAAAAACAAACAGTTATTATAGCATAGTGTTATATCTGCCATAACTGTTATATGCGAATTAGTGCCAAAATATGGAAGTTGCTATCAGAGAGTGCATATTGCTTTCTTCTATTACTTCTCTCTCTCTCTCTGGATTGTCTTGCTTAGCTCAGGAGACAGAGCATAGGGATGCCGCACCCTACCCCCATCCCCCAGTATTTTAATAAGAGCGATTTGTCTGACTGGCTTTCTCATTTGTGATAGGCTGACTATGACATTCCCCTTATTATTATTGGCTTAGCAAACACTTGATTTCAGAGTTTTTGTTGGGAAACTGCCAGTTAGTTTAGAATCCTTGCACAACTGCAAAAAGCATAAACCTTCCACCCCCAAGATTCATGAAACCTTATGTGGTTGTTCCCAAGGGAAGGCAAACAGTCTGGAGAGATACTTGTAATGTAGGTAGAAAACAATAAAGTTACTTGCTTTAGCTATCTATGAGTGGCTCTGGTTGCTTGCAGCTTTTTAATACAGCAATTCTGATTCCTTGATAGAGAGTCAACCATTAACTATTCTGGGATTAGGCCAGTACTAGCAATATTCTATACAGGTAGTTCTCAATTTACAACAGTTTGCTTAGTGACTGTTCAAAGATATGACACTAAAAAAACTGACTTGTTGACCATTGCAGCATCCCCATGCTCACTTGATTTACATTCAGATGCTTAACAACTGACTCACATTTATGACAGTCGCAATGTCCCGGGGTCATGTGATCACCTTTTTGCGACCCTCTGGCAAGAAAAATCAATGGGGAAACCCGATTCACTTAACAACCGTGTTACTAATGTAACAACTGCAGTGATTCACTTAACAAAGGTGGCAAGAAAAGTCATAAAACGGGGCAAAACTCACTTAACAAACTTCTGACTTAGCAACATAAATTTTGGCCTCAATTATGGTCGTAAGTTGAGGACTACCTATATTGTGATTACTGCCTCCTAAATGTGTAGCCTTGGTCAAATACCTGAACTGTTTACCCTTGGAACAACAAGATATTTACCCTTTGGACAAAATATACCATATCATGTCTCTATTCTAGTTCATCAAATCAGAATCTCTCACTGCTTTCCTACCCAATTTCCTAGGTCTGTTCACTTTGATCAGCCTGCTTCTCAGCAAAGTCTTAGAACTGTTGACTTTAGTTGTCTTCTTAAACAGAGGAACTTGGCTTCTTCTAATCAGCATAAGGTAGTAACCTCCCCTCCTTCAAAACCAGCTCATACCAAATGGATCTTTTTTACAGTATCTACTTTGCCCGCATGGGGGATTCATGCTTGCTTGGTATTTTAACAGTAAATGGGAAGTGTTGGAAGACTTTTTAATAGGACAGCAGGTTGTTGCAAGGAAACCTCATCCTAACATGACTCACAATAAGAGGAAGTACATTCCATACTCTGTTCTGCAAACATGAAGCTTGGTGTGGCTTCCAGATGTTCACTACTCTGAAAAACTTGTTTGTGGAATAGACATGGGGCAAAACATTTCCTGAAGGTTCACCAACATTTGTAAGCGATGCTTGTTTTACTAAACAGTAAAATGGCAAAGACAAATAGTTCACCAGTTTGGATCTACTCCTCGTCTATCCATTCCTACCTCTTTGCTTCATAGTAGAGCAATATTTTCAGTTCTCCATATATCACTGCCTTGCCTGCTACAGTAGACTCAGTTCTCAGTATGGTTCCATTCTCAGCTCTCAGCTGTCTGAGAACAGAAATATGGATTTCCTGTCTACTGTTTGCCTTCAATAGGAGCAGCTGTCATTGTTCCACATGTAGTGATGATCACCTTCAAACTCTCCTTCTTCTCTTACCTAGGCCTACACTGAATTCTACTGGGGTGAGGTAACCATTATTGTCTTGCACCAGACTGTCAAAAACAGCCTCCAGCTGTTCAGTGGTGAATGGTAGCTCACTTTGTAACCGCTGTGGAAAAGAAGAAAAAGGAGGATCAGATTCAGGGTTTTTATCTATAATTAACAGAACAAATAGAAAATATTATTCCCACCTTATTTACCCAGCTTGCCAAGTTCTTGTACAATGGCAGATGAAAAAAATGGGGGGGGGGCTTTCCTTGAATACGTGGATCTGACGATTTGCACTCTTGCATTTTCTGCTCTAAACTCATATTAATGGGTAGAATTTCTAGTTAAGGTGTGTCTTATAGTCTATAATTATAATTAGCATTTAGTATGATAAACCAGAGAATGAAGTCCTGAATAACCTTACTGGTATGCAACTCATGGAAAATTGGCAGACGTCATATAAACAATGAACATTCAATTTTGCCAGGGCAGAAACTGGGTGTTCTCTAAGTGCACACTCTGTCCAACTTAGCTGCAATTCATAGCCACAACCATTCATTTGGTATTTCTTCTGCGCCTTTAACAGCATTCTTCAAAGTATGCAAATATATGCAAAAGAAGGAACCAGGATAAGCTCTTTTTTTTTTTTTTAGCTTTATATCCCTTCAATAGCCTTCACATGTTTTATTTCTTCATGGCATAGAAAGACACAGGAAGATGGCCACTGAAGCCAAAGTTGCATTTATGCAACGACAGGCATCAGAATGCCTGTACTTTCTTTTGGATTTATGCTGAAGACTTCCTTGCCTTTGGGAGTAGATGCAGGTGCAGGTGTGAATTAGACACAGTATCTGTACCAATTGTTCAAGAATCTGTGTGAAGAATTTTTCTGCCTCTTGGTAAAATTTAGATATATGTCCATATATCTTTTAGATATGTCTGCATACATAAGAATAAATGGATACATATCTTTTAGATATGTGTCCCTTTATTCTTATGTATACAGACTAAGTGTTTTTAAAGTAATGAAACATGGTCTTTGTCTATGTTGTATTAAATTTGTTTAGGGACTTTTTCTTATTTTAAAAAATTCACTTGGGCCAAATTTGGCATGCATGGGAAGTAAGAGCTAATGTAGAAGATGATACAAGATTCACCATTATATTAATCCACAAGCTTATATAACCCTAGCTTATAAAATAAATTAGAACTGATTCATATCATATATTAAACCATAAACTTTGATTTCGTTGTCAACATAGGTAAGCCAATTAATACTATGGCAATGTATAATTACTATGGCAGATGGTTATGTTCAGCATTTTTAAGCTGAACAATAAGTAAAAAGTTTGAAATACACTGAACACACCAATGTTGGAGAAAAGCTGAAAAGATGATGGTCATGAACCAAGAGAGGTGAGAAAATGATGGTTGGAATCTTGACAGCCTAGTAAGGCTTAATTAGACAAACCAACGGAACAAATAAAAGGAACCAATCAGAAAGTGGAAAGTGGATCTTCTTATTTATTTATTTATTTTATTAAATTTCTATACCGCCCTTCTCCCAAAGGACTCAGGGCGGTGAACAGCCAAAAGATAAAACACAGAGATACAAAATTTAAAATAGATTAAAACAGATTAAACAATTTGGCTAAATTTTAAAAATATCCCATAATTAAACAAATTAAAATTAGTGTTTAAAATTTAAATTTTAAAATTTTAAAAGGGAGAAGATTTCTTGTGACAATTACCAGATGACTGAATGAGCAAGAGACCATCACCAGACTAGGCAACATAAACAAGAACTATCTCTGTACGTTGTGAGAAAAGGCAAAAGGACAACACAAAGTAAAAAAAATGTCTATGGAGATTCTCAGTCAACCAGGTCATGGTTTTCCCAAAGGTACTTTTTCAAAAGGCAACTGGAATTTGTTTTTCCTTGAAGAAATTTCGCTTCTCATCCAAGAAGCTTTTTCAGTTCTGAAGAAGAAGAACTAAGAAGTTTCTTGGATGAGAATCAAAACATCTACAAGGAAAAACAAGGCCCAGTTGCCTTTTGAAAAAGCACCTTTGGAACAAAATAACAAAGTACTAAACTGGGTTAGCTAAGCAACCAAAAAGTACAGAACATGATATGGGCAATTTGGATTTCTTTCCAAATGTGAGAACATATAAAAAGGAAAGATAAATATCAAGCTTTGAGCAGCTGACTGACCAACGACAGAAAAGAACCTAAGGCAGTTAAATGATGAAAGTTTTCACCATTCCTTTCATTCACTTGAGGGCATATGGATAGGGAAAACTAATGTCAATCATGGGTCAACACCAATCTTCAGCTTTAGTATTACATTTAAGCTAAGACTTTAACAGAAAAGCATTTTATGCTGAACCTATAATAATTAAATTATGTTGCATCATATTTGATGTCAGTCTGATACTTGGTTTGCTCCAGTACTGTTTTCAAAAGCTCAGGCTTGAATGTTCTGCTTTGTATTTCGAACAGAATCTGTTAAATAAAGTGATATGCTTCTTCCCATGAACTATGATACGTTCCTAAACCTAGTGGTTGGATTCACACAATACATCAAACAAGCAAACCATATAGTATCCTGAGAAGCCAGCCAGTGTCAGATCCTTACCTGCATGTCAAATCTTGTTATGAAACCCTTCTCCTCCTTATCACAGAGCCGGAAGAGCTCCTGGGCTTTTTCCAGCATTTCCACTTGTGTGTTTCTCTCACCACTCAAGCAGAGAAGGGGAGAAGGAAGTGAAAGAGAACGAGAGGCACTTTCAGTCATTCCATTAACTTCCTTGTCTTCCTGATGGAGAGTTTTGGAAGGTTTTTTCCCAGATCTCTGCATTGCTTTGCAAGCTTTTCACTGGAATGATAAAACATTTGGGGGGAGGGGGGAAATGAACTTAATTACTTTTCTCCTTAAAATACTGAACGAGAGACTTCCAAACATGTTCTGCAATGAAACTACTGACAATAATCATGTATATGAGTGAAAAACAGGGAAAGAAAAGTATTTTCCACAATAACACTGAGTTCTGCCAAAATCTCCATCTCGAACATAGCTCTCATGTGCTTTGGAGGAAGTGAAATGTAGTGTTCTAGAACATTGCAGAATAAATAAATACTCTATGCTGTATGTATAGAATATGCGATTGTTAAAAGTGAGTCTTCTGCTGCAAATATAATCGAGATGAAATCACTACAGCACCACATTTGGAGAAAATAAAATAGAAAAGAGCAGAGGTGAAATCTAAAATTTGTTACTACTGGTTCTGTAGTGGGGGGGGGGGAATGGTGGGGGGGTAATGTGATTGGGTGGGGGGGGGCCATTTTTTTTTTTACTTTTAAAACCATTTTTTACATGTAAAACCATGTAAAAAAATGCTTTCAAAAGGCTCTGACGATCCCACCTGAGTTGCCTGATTAGTAGGCAACTCAGCTGGGATCGTCAGAGCCATTTAAAAGAAAAAAAAAGCTCTGATGATCACGCGGTTCAGCTGGGCATGTGGGGCAGGGGCAGGGATTTTTGCCACCGGTTCTCCGAACTGCCTGCTGCCATCGCTACCTACTTGCCCGAGCCGGTCCGAATTGGGAGCATTTCTCCCCTGGAAAAGAGGCATGCCACTATTCCAGACTTTAATATTTGAAAGTCTTTTATCTTATACCACCATTGATTTAGATTCAAGAAAACTCAGTTTTTGCTTCTTATGTCTACAATCAATTTCTAAGTTTAGGACGCAGCTTATAATTTGCTTCCATAAAATGTTTAGAACATATAATGGATTGAGGCTATAATTTTGATGAGAATAAGTAATGCTAAATTCCATGGGATTACTTCTGGAAAAACATGCCAGGAAAAAGGCTACTTACATACATATTACATTGCAGGCTTGCTGATGTAGAAGAGTATCTTGTATTTTTGTCCATAAATCTGGTATGAAATTTATCTACTGTAAAACAAAAACTACAAATATTAAATACTATAGAACAGATCTGAGATAATTACAGATACTAAATAAATATCAAACTAAAACCTATTTCATTCAAGTACATATGCTTCCACCAAAACAAGAGTATCAGTTTCACAGGTATGACTGATAACTTGCCTTCTAGAAAAAATCTTCTTATTTGATCAAACTCTACTAAACTAAGTTTTAGATACATATCATCCCTAAATGATAGATATGTGTTGGAAGGAAGGAATATAAATCTTTGTATAAAATAAACAGCACTTATATTTGGAAAGTTACTCTTCAGTACTTAACTCAAAAAAAAAAAAGAGATTTATTTAGCGGATGATGAGAACACAACAGAAGGGAAGTATACACACAATCCACATAATTATATACAAAACTTCTTGGGGCATTTGGCAGTGGCCTCATAACTGGATGTTCAATGTAAGCTGTTTCCTCGAAAATAAGACATACCCTAATAATAAGCCCAACTGGGCTTTTGAGCGCATGCGCTAAAATAAGCCCCCCCCTCAAAAATAAGCCCTCCCTGAAAATATTTAAATGTATGTGCAGCAGGTCCCTGCCATTTCCTCTGGTTAGGGTTAGGGAGACAGAGCTGGAAATCAGGTAAGTTGGCAAGAAGAGCCCCATCTTGCTCCACATGTCCCAAAATAATAAGACCTCCCCGAAAATAAGGCCAAGCGCTTATTTCGGGGTCCAAAAAAAATAAGACAGGGTCTTATTTTCAAGGAAACACGGTATATAAAAAAGAGATTAACAGATAAAATACCTTTAAAGACTTCATTTCGATGGCAGAGATCATAAATCCTTTGCTATCATGTGCACAGACGCCTTCGTTTTTTACAACTCTTCAAGAGCTGAGGAATTAACGCAGTTTTTCTTCAAATGGGGCACATTTTCTCCCCCAAAGCCTACAAAGACCAAACATTCATTATGTAATTAAAACCATGAAAAGAATCCATGCCATTTGAAAGAAAAATCAAAATAGTATTACTATAAATGAGGACACAGAAACACAGACATGTGTATTATCTGAAATGTTTATTCTCCTTTTAGTCCATTCAGTTTGCTCATAAAGAGTCCTTTGACAGAAAACAGGAAAGACCAGTAAGAAGATACGTTAGAATACTGGTATGGTATTGTATGTTCAACAGAAGAGATTAGCACTAAGGGAAAGTAGCAGGATGTATTCACACTATCACAATGCTTATTGCAGCTCAGTTGGGTCAGCACAGCAGAAGTCTAATTTTAAAAAGTCCTTATTTCTATAATATTATAAACAAAGGCTGTCTAACTCTTAAGTGCCCTTTCCTAAGGATTATTAAAAGCTAAAGATAAATTACTTCAATGCAGTGTAGCCAAAGGCAAAGGATCACATTTCACAATGAGGAAACAGAAAACCTTCCTCCAAAACTCCAAAGACATTTTGTGAGAGATGCAGAGGAATAAGACCCTGTTGTTGTTGTTGTTTATCCCAGTTACTTTGTACAGCAGTGTTCTAGCAGAACTTTAAAATAATTTAATATTTTCTCTCTTCTTCCAACAGTGACCAGAAATATGGAGTCTGCAGGCAAAATGAGGCTACACTTCATCCAAATTATGGGGTTTTGGTGCTTGTTTGCTTGCAAATATTTCATTACCCGATTAGGTAACTTCATCACTGCCAATGAGTGTGGAGTTTGCAGTATATAATCAAACTCAGAGAGCATCAAGAACTCCACAATTCAAGCCTGAGTGACATATGTTCTCTGCATTTGTCCAGATTGTTAGACAGAGATGCTGGGATGTTAAGTCTTCACACAGACTCTAAGCAAAAGGATACAGATAATATAGATGCCTGAGTCATACATATATCTGGGAGCTGTCCCAGGATGGAGTTCAATAAAAGCATGGGATTGGTCTTCTTTATTGCTCTGGCTTAATAGCTGGAGAAATATTTTGCTAGACATTTAGCATTAGTTATTTAAGATCTTCAAACAAGATATATTATATCAATTGGTAGATTGTACAGATATTCTAAGTGGGGGAAAGGATATTTTAGATAAGAAAAATGGCAGATACTGGCATTAAATGAGTGATAATATACTCAGCTCCCCATCAGGAAATTAGTAAAGTTACCAAGGCAAAGTATCTTTCAAGTCATGTTAGAAGTTTAGTATTTCTTCAAAGCTTAGTACTTGATGGACATATTCATGCAGTTTTTCACTGGCAGTAAGAAATTGCCTTGCCTTTAAAAACAGACATCCGGGTCAGGTTTACAGTACAACCTTGGAATTTTCCAGAGGTCTCCCATTCAAGCACTAACTAGGAAAAGCTGTTTTACTTCTGGGTTCAGACAAAGTTGGTTGGGTTGTAGTACCTATTGAGATGATAAAATTCTGACTTTTATCAAATGCCTATTTAAAAATACATGGTTAAATAACAAATGTATCTTACAGGTAATCCTTGATTTACAAAAGTTTATTTAGTGACAGTTTGAAGTTACAACAGCACTGAAAAAAGTGACTTATGACCATTTTTCACACTTATGACCATTGCAGCATTCTCTGTGGTCACGATTGAAATTTAGACACTTGGCAACTGACTCATATTTATGACAGTTGCAGTGTCCCAGGGTAATGTGATCACTTTTTGCAACCTTCTGACAAGCAAAGTCCATGAGGAAGTCAGAGTCACTTAACAACATTACTAATCTAACAACTGCAGTGATTCACTCAACAATATGGCAAAAAAGATCATAAAATGAAGCAAAATTCACATAACTGTCTCACTTAGCAACAGAAATTTTGGGCTCAGTTGTGGCCATAAGTTGAGGACTACCTGTATTATTTATGCATAAGACTAATGACTGAGAGATACCTGTGTGTAGACTGGCCTGGTAACAGCACACCCAATTTAAGTTCAAATATATGCAGCTTTTCAGCTGCCTTTGAGTGTTCAGCATCACCTTTCCTTAACCTGGTGCCCTCCTTATTTAGAATTCAACTTCCATAAACCAAGTCAGGAAAGCCAATAACTGGAATGAGTTTGGAACAAGTAGAAGCAGAGTTTCTCAAGGGCATCTTTCTTTATAGGGTTCCAAACTATACCCACTCACAAAATAAGACCCAAGTATAATTAGCTTTTTAAAGTACTGACATTAATTCAAATGCAACAACTTCTTTAAAAGCAGAACATTATCGTTGCCTCTTTATTAAAGAGATGGGGATGAAAACCTAATTATACATTCTCTTAGGAAAAGCATAATTACAGTATTACATTTTCAATTAAACTTTAATCCTATGAGTTGTTCAGCAAAAATTTCAATAAAATTCCCTTTCCCATGAAGCAATTTATATTAGGAAGACCCTTGCTATTGGCATCTCTAAGAGATTGATACTAAAAATAATAACTAAGTTGAGACTGAACACATAGTCCTGAACAACGTCACTGCTCATTTCCATAATCACTTTATCCTATAATAACAGGATCTTTATGGTTGATTCCTCATGCCTTTGTGAGCCAGTCTAAGGTTTCCAGTTTAGAAGACTTCCGAAGAGATATATTGTATGCCTAGCACAAAACCTTTTCAATGCTGACACCAACATTTGGGAAGAATATTGAGAAATCTACTGGATGTGTTTGTGCTTATATTGATATTTTAACAAAACTATGTCACTTACTGTGGTCAAAGCAGACAAGACATTTACGTAGTGCAATTGCCCTTTCTCAACTGAAGAACGTTAGGTACATTCTGCTGTGTTTTATCATTATATTTATCTTCTTACTTTCTTGAGAAAATACAATAAGGGAAGATGGAACAGATGCACAATGTCTTTTGATGGTAATGCCAAGAACTGTTATTGGGAAACATCCCTCTGCTTGGTGTGCAGGATGCACCAGGCTGAAATTTGGTTTGGGCTGATCATGATGTTTGAATGGATTAGCTTCAAGAGTGAAGTAAATCACTGTTGTTTGTTCAACAAATGATAAATAAAACAAACTGTGGCAAAATTCGGCAGTCTTCTTTTTCCTAACCTTCCAAGTTCCCTAAATGGACAAAAATCGGTAGCAAAGTTTTCCATCATTTTGAAATGAAAATATATGAAATCCATAATGGAATTCTTAAAACAGATTCAACATAATTAAAAAAGATTCCATGGCCCTTCCCACTTATGAAACCCAATTAAGAGCCTTGGTACTACAGTGGTTTAAAGCACCCTGTTATTAACACAGCTGCCTGCAATTTACTGCTGGTTCGAATCTCTCCAAGGCTCAAGGTTGACTCAGCCTTCCATCCTTTCTAAGGTAGGTTAAATGAGGACCCAGTTTGTGGGGGCAATAAGCTGACTTTGTATAAATATACAAAAGTATGAAGGCTATTGCTGAATGCACTGTAAGCCGCCCTGAGTCTCCGGAGAAGGGCGGCATATAAATCAAATTAAAAAAAAAAAATTAAAAGAAAATTTCTCCATCAGCCTTTTGTTTTATTGCTCCATTCAATATGGAGTTCTCTTTCGAAATGATAAGTGGTCTCTGGGAATCAAAACTCTGCCCACTCTTAAACTGGTGCAATACCCATATTCAGCCTAAAGGAAAACAGTAGAGCTCATATAAGCAGTTATTAGATATACTGTACCTTGCAAGACAAAATAGCAAGTGCTGCATTCTGTTTATGACCTCCAAAAAGGTTCTAAAAATCCCCTGCTTTTCTAATTGGAAGAAGAGATTTTTGGTCTAACATTTAGCTCCTTTCTTTCACTATTTGAAATCAGCTCTCCCATCTTGAACAGTCCAACTCAGTTATTTGAAAAGCCAAAAAGATGGACAGATATCTTATTTTGCAAAACGTAAGAGCTCACTAGAATCTGATTTGCCAAAAAGGAAAAAAAAAAGAACAATAAAAACATATAGCTATAAGCTTCTTTCTACACAGCATTTCTGACAATTTATTTTCTCTAACCCTTTGAAATCTCCAAAATCAACTCACACAGAACAATCTCTGTGTGTGAGAATGGTGCTGATTGAAAATGGAAACAAGTCCAAATAAACACATTGGGATTTACACACAGTATACATGTATAAAATGATATATTTTGTGACAGAGAAGTGAATTACTATATATTTTATTCCACTGGCATTCACAGGATTTTTTGATATGGTACCATAAGATGGATCCTAGGAATAAGGAAATCTGCAGAAAATTCTACCCATTATGCTTGGCTAGATTGCTATTTATTTTATATTTAACAAGGACAATTTTGCACACATTTTTGCAGGAATGCTGATAGGTACAATATTGCCCTGTAATTGCTACTGGGCATGTATTTGTTTTCTTTCCATTAAGTCAGGAGGAAGCCAAAGCGAGCAAAATCTGTTTCAGAAATGTCAAAGGAGGGTGCTTTTTGTTTTGAAAAGCAGATAGCTCAAGGCAGCAAGCCAAGAGAAAGATGCCCTTGGCCTTCTGTACACCGGCCAAGGGCACCAGATTTTGGCACAGCAACAGAAATTCTAACACACTGGAGATCTTTGGTGCCAGGATCATGGGAGAGTTTAACAGCCTTGAGTAAAGCTCTTCACTTATGGATACCAGAGCAGCCCTCTAAGGTAATATTTACCTAGCAAAAGCAAACGTTGACATACCAACGTCAGAAGGAACATTTGGTCAGGTGAGAGAGTCAGAGTTACTTGGGGATTTTCCTCCGTCCTTCATTTCTTGACTGCTTCTTTCCTCAAACCTAAACAGCTATTTTGTCTTGGGTGCCCTTTAATATCACTCCAATGACCGGGAGCTGAGAAGGTACATAATTGATTGGATCCTTCTAGCAATTACAACTCATATGAGAGGGGCAAAGGCAGACAGTGTAAAGTCAAACAGGAATGGGGGACCTTGTCAGAAGTTTCATTCAGGTACATAAAATGATGAAAACAG